GTCCTAGGTCAGCTTCTTCTTTTAGAGTCACCAGACCATCATCTGACACAGTAGGCCTATTGGGGGTGGCAGGGAGGGCATTTATCTTTCTGTCTTTTGGGGAATAAAACGAGCATCTTGGGACCTCTCATTCTTCCTTCCAGAAGGAGATGTTATAAAAATGAATAAATCAACATAGAACATGTCATATTTATGCCTACTGGCTGAATTGATAATACTTATTTGTAATGAAAATTAAGCAAGCAAAATGCTAAAATGTTCTCTCTGGAGAACACACAGTGGACCGTCTTAACATGTAAACACACTGGCTCATTGTATACTCCATCCTTATCTCTACCTGTTCAGGTTAATGCAGAAGGTGATAGCTGCTGTCTCTCGTGTGTGTGTGTGTGTGTGTGTGTGTGTGTGTGTGTGTGCTGGTGTATGAACTCAAGGCCCCACACTCTCCCTTTCTCTACTCTTTGAGCCACAGCTCCACTTTGATGGTTAACTGGAGATATGAGTTTTAAGGACTTTTCTTTACCTGGTCTGGCTTTGAACTGTGATCCTTAGATCTCTCAGCCTCCCAAGCAGCTAGGATGACAGGTGTCAGCCAGAAGCACCTGGATTGCTGTCTGAAATTTAGCACAGGATCCTAACACACCTGCACAGAGCTACTTAATAACAATGATATCGAACAATAATTATAGCTACCATCTACCTCCAACAAAAGAACTTCACCTCTGCTATGTACTACAATTTGCCAATGTGATCCCACATTTTTTTAAGTTTTATTTTTTTACTTGCTTTTCCCATATTATAACCAGCAGTTATATAATTCTCAGATTAACTCTTCCAACAGTTGTTGAGCATCTATCTATTCAACCCGTGAACTTGTAGTAGACTCTGGTGGAGGATGAAGCGGAAAGAACCACAGAACACAGCAGATCTTCCTGACGGCTTTGGCTGGGAGGGGAGAGAGGGCTTCTGGGCAGCTAAAGCCACTAGTGACCTCATTACAGATAATTTAGGTTATCACATTTTTCTCTGCCTAGGAAAGCAGCTCCCCAGCCATTCCGAGGCGGTGCGCGCGTTCCGCGATGCACCTACTCGGTGCCAGTCTCTTGGGGCTTGCTGGGTGGCATCACAGAACCCCGGTCATCACCGAAGTTCTGGGTCTGGTAGTTTCTCCCATTCTTGTTCTCTGACTCCCGAAGTCGGGCTTCCATTCTGTCACTTTCATTTCAGCCGTGCGAAGGAGCAGGAATTTACAGCCGGGTTTTTGGCCCTGAAACCCAGGCCGCCCCCGCCCCACCGTCGGCGGTGCGCCCATGTGCGCCCCGCGCCCCTCCAGACCCTCTGTGGGGTCCAAACTTGCACCTGCGTGGGTCTCCATGGGACTGGGGCCGTCGGACTCCCGCCGGCCCCGTCTCCCTTCTCCCCTGTCCCCCACCACGGCCCCCACCGCCGTGCCGGTTAACCTGACCGTGAAGTCGGGTTTGAAGAGGACCCCACTTCCCGCCCCCCCCCCCATCTCCCTCCCTTCCCCAGCACGGGGAGGATAGGCTTTTACGGTGGCAGAGGACCCCGGGAGTGTCCCCCAGGAGGGAAGCCCGGCTGTCCTGGAACGGGGCCGCCCAGGTGAGGCTGCCTCCTGGAGGCTGGCTGCACGAAGGCCGGTGAACGCGGCGCGCGCCCGGCCCCGGAGCGGCTGCGGAGGGCGGAGCGGAGCGCGCGCGGGAGGCCCCCGCCCGGGCCGCCCAGGGCCCGGCTCCCCGCGCCGCCGCCGCCGCAGGTGGGGGGCCCGGCGGGCCGGGGGCGGGGCCGGGCTCGGGGCGGAGCCGCGGTGGCAGTCCGAGCCCGAGCGGGACCCGCGAGCCGGGGACTGTCGGGGCGCCCGCGGGAGCTGGCCGCGCGCTGGGGCTGGGACCCGCCTGGCCGAGCGCGCCGGCGCCGCGGCTGCAGACAAAGGCGCCGCTCGCGCCCGGGCCGCCGCGCTCGGGGCTCCATCTCGGTAAGTGGCTCCGGGTCCTGCGACCGCCAGAGTCCCGCGGGCTCCGGGGAAAGCGGGGAGCAAGGAGGGGCTGCTTCTCCCTCACGCCTCCCCTCCACCCCCGCCTCTCCGGACTCGAACCTACCCCCCGGTCGGGGCCGGCGAGCGCCGGGGCGGGAGGCTGCCTCCAGCGGGACCCGCCGCCCTGGGCTCCGCGCCCCGCGCGCGCGCGCGGGCGCCGTCCGGGGGTCGCCGGCTCGCCGCGGGAGGCGGCCGCGGGGCTCCCTGGGGGGCGTGAACCGGGCGCCGCGGGGCGACCCTGGGAGCAGCCTGCACCTTTGGGGTCACGGCAGGGGTGTCGCTTTGTGAGTTCAGATTCGGACCTCGGTTGTAGGATCGGTCTCCCCCCACACACCTTTCTTTCCTCCCTGCCAACGGTTCATGCGGGGGGAGTCCCCCCACCCACCAATTGGGGGGATCCCCCAGAGCGAGGGGACCCCCGCCGCGCTCCCCCGCGGCTCCCCATCCGAAAGCCTGCCGGGCTCTGGCTTTTGTTCTGCGCGCTCGGAACCCGGGGCCAAGCCGGGGTGGGCGCTGCCCGCGCGCGGGGCCGCGGTGGGAGTTCCAGGTGCCGCCCCTAAGTGTCAAGTGGGCGAGCTGGAGGCGGCGGCGGCGGCTGATCGCCCCCTGGGCTGTGAATGGATTCGAACCACTAATCCATCCTGGGCGGCCGGCTGCGGGGGGAGCCCCCCCCCCCCGGGTCCCGAGTGAGCGAGCGCCCGCCCGCCGCCGCGCGCTGTCACGCGCCTCTCCTGCGCTCTCGAAAGCGCTACTTCCATTCATGGATCTGTGCCTGCGATGTGATTAATGTCACCTCTGCCCGGCTCTGTAAAGAGCGAGCGCTACTATTCAATTTCATAACCTTTCTTGGGGGCGTGGTGGCTTCTACGTGCACGGCAGCTGTCCAGAGATCAATCAGCTTCCTTCAAAAGGTATTTATTGAGCACCCACTGTATGCACACCCAATGTCTTCAATGGAATAGGTAAGTACTTACTGAGTACCGACCGTGTTCTCGGTTGCTATGTGTTGACCTTCTTGTACTATTTACTTGTTGAGCGCCTACTACGTGCAAAAAGGTTTTTGTTTGTTTGTTTGTTTGTTTGTATGTTTTGTTCTTGTTGCAAGGGGGGAGAATTGATCTTCTGACCTTTGAGTCTTCCATTCCTGGTCTTCACTTGACGGTAGCTTCTGTGCTCATTATTTTGAGCAGAGCAGAATAATGAAAAGTCCTGCTTTGGATCCTCTTTCCAATCCAGTTACCCTCTATTCAAGGGAATTGGGGTGGGGGAAGAAAGGGAGAGGAGGGGAGTACCCTAAATCTGGCAGTTCCTTTGAACAAAGTGCTTGTAATTATCAGGGAACAAAGAAAGGTTAATACAGCAAAGCCCTCATGTTTAGGGAGTCAAGTAAAAAAGAATGAATAGATGGTGGAAAGGATAGGGGACACCAAGAAGGACAGCTCCACACCCGGGCTGGGGGTGAGGGCTTCGAAAACCCCCAGTATTGCACAAGGCTGGGAGGGGCTGAGGTCTGTATCAAATGGGTTAAGGGTCCTTCTAAGAGATTTGATGAATCTGTCACTCTGATTATCCTAGAATCTTGATCCAGATTGACAAGACAACCATAGCTTCTCAGTCTACCCCCAACTATCAGAGCACCTGCACTGTTACACAGCCGTTACTGAGAAATGTTATCTGCACATAGTCTTTGTCTCAAAGGATCTAACAGTTTTTGAGGTAAACTCATAAAAGAGTAACTTGGACAGCCAAGGAAAAGCCAGGAAACACCTACCCACTCTGTGTCTGTCTGCCTGTCTAACCTCCAAGAATTGTGGTTTTTCTTTTATTGCACACTGAGAATGTTCTCTATGCTTCTATGCTTTCTCTTTTTACATGGCTCTCCAGTAATTTTTGGTAAGCTCTTTGTCCCTGTTTCTTGGTATAATGAACTTTTTCTTCCTCGATTATTTCTAAGCTCCACTTTAAATTTGTTTAAAATGGAGAAAATCACATTATAGTATTTTTACTGTGAACTCTCCTCACATCTTGCCTCTTGGTCCTTTGTGAAAAACCCAACCAGGAATTTATAGAGGAAATGCAAGCTAGTTTTGGGAGATGAACTAGGTTTGTCATGGCCAAGAAAAGTAGAAAAGCTGCATCCCCAGTTGAGGGGAGACTCCAGGCCAGGAGGACAGTCCATCCTCTGAACCTTGAGAATCTGGTAGATATTCATCTGGAACAGTTTCCATTCTTTGCACAGGCACACCTGTCTGACGTGGGTTTACTATGACAAGAACTGAGTTAGGTGTCAGACAGGACATCACTCAGCAGTTTTTGTCTTACAGCTGCAAGGACCTGTGTCTCCTGCCCCAGCTTTGGAGGCATCTCTTCTTGTCTACAGTTGTTTTGTTTTGTTTGCGTGTTTGTTTTTGGGAGGACTGTACTGGGACTTGAACTCAGGGCTTCATACTCACTTGGCTTTTTTTGCTCAAGGCTGACATTCTACCACTTGAGCCAAACCTCCACTTCTGGCTTTTTGCTGGTTAATTGGAGAGAAGAGCCTCAAGAACTTTTCTTCCCAAGCTAGCTTTGAGCCAGGATCCTAGCCTCCTGAGTAGCTAGGGTTACAGTTCTTTCAAGTTTATTCCTGGAGTTTTTCCACTTGGGCTACAGTTGACTGTAATCTCCAACAATGTGATTTTTTGGTTGCTTCTGTGCCTCCATCCTCCTTGTCTGCCCCACAGAAAGTTTGTGGACTTACTGACACGTATTGCGCTGGACCCTTGCCTTCTGCTTCTCACCTGTTTCCTCCTTCCTCAGGACCTGCTGCCTCTCATCTTCTTCACCATCTTTCTTTCTTTGTATGAAAAGGTGTCAGGAAAACAGTCTGTCACCTGTCACTTTGTCTGGAATATGAATGTAGGTCATTGTGTTCTCTTATCCAGGGGTCTTTGCTCTTTAAACCTCGTTCTGGCATGAAAGGCTGCATCTACGGTGAGAGATAAAGCCCGGACAAGAGGGTGCTGGAGGTAAGGTAGAGTCAAGTCCTTTCCTGGCACTTGTGAAATGATGCCACAATCTCACCATGGAGCAGACTTGGCCAGGGTCCTGCAGGCCCTCTATTCACATAATTTTCATTTTACTTCCTTCCATCAGAGGTTTTTTTTTCCTTTTTACATTTTGTGCTGGTATTGGGGCTTGAACTCAGGGCCTGGGTACTGTCCATTATCCTTTTTTGCTCAAAACTGGTACTCCACCACTTGAACCACAGTTCTACTTCGGGTTTTTTGTGGTTCATTGGAGATAAAAGTCTCAGGAACTTTGTTGCCAGGGCTGGTTTTGAACTGTGATCTTCAGATCTCAGCCTCCTGAGTAGCTAGGATGGCAGTGTTTGGACTACTTTTTAGTATATCAGAAAGGTGAGCCACCTGGCCTTTGCATACTCTACCCCAAGCTCTGAAGATTGTTGTGCAGTGGGAACCCTTGCTTCTCTTCCTGTATGTGGCCATTACTTTGAGGCTGGAAACTCAGCCATGGCATTGACAGAGACCCTGGACCAGATGACTTCTTGCTGTGAAGGGGTCCTGTGAATTGATGGTGTGTAACAGCATCCCTGGTTTCTACCCATTCCGTATTAGCTCCTCCCTCCAACATCAGCCCTGGTTGAAGACTGATGTTCGAAGGGGGTGCTGGTTATTATGCAGTATGCTATAACATAGTTGTGTCCACTTTTTTGGCAGAGGACTTAAGGTAACTTGGATCTTTTCTTTTTTTTTTTTAATTTAACTTAATTTTATTTGTGAACATACTGTACAGAGGGGTTACAATTACATGGGCAGGATAATGCGTACATTTCTTACCAAGCATTGCAGCCTCCTCCTTTGAACTTGGATCTTTTCAAGAAGGTAACTGAAATGTGTGATTAGCTTTGTGGAACTTTCCAGATGAGTACTTTCCTATTAGAATCAACAATATTGGCCAGGTGTGGTGGTCCATGCCTATAATCCCAGCTAGAAATCAGGACGATTGTGGCTTGAGCCACAAGCAAGATAGATTAGCTAGATCCTATCTGAAAGAACAAGTCAGGGTTTAATGGTATGTACTTGTGATCCAAGTATGTGGGAGATAGAGCTAGAGGATCACATTTCAGGAGGGACGGGGGGGGGGGGAAACATAAGGGTATATCCAAAAATAACCAAATCAAAATGGGCTGGAGCCATGGCTCAACTGGTAGAGAACCTGCCTAGTGACTGCAAGGCTCTGAGTTCAAGCCCTAGTCCTATAAAAAAATGTGTGGTGGGGACTGGAGGTATGGCTCAAATGGGAGAATGGTCACCTAACAAGTGTATGCATATATGTGTATGTCTACTCTTTGTTAGACACAGGATCATCCCAGCCTGCTGACCGGGCAGTGGCTGGTGGGCATCCCCGGAGCAGGGAAGTGGCGGGGGGGGGGGGGGGGGGGGGGGAGGGGCAGGGGAGAACTCAGCACTGTGGCCTGATACCCTGGGACTTGCTGCTTATGCAGTCCTGGGTGCCTCCCAGTCTTCTTTAAGCAGATAGGGGGTGTGGGGGGGGTGGGGAATGAGACTTATCTTCAATTAATCATTAAAAACTCAGACATGACTCAATGGTAGAGTGTAAGCCTTGAACAGAAAAAAGCTAAGCAAGAGCATGAAACCCTGAGTTCAAGACCCAGTACTGTCACAAAAAAAAGATGAAATGACCAGGCCTTGGAAGGGTTCTGGGAAAACCAATTGAAGGGCTCTGATTGGACAAACGTGTCTGCATGAGAAGGATACCAGGGGATGGGCTTCCACGAAGGCAGATTCTCAAAATGTCGGCTTAAATCTAGCACATGGATCAAAATAGAAATGTTAATTCCAGCATACCCTGTACTTTTGGTGGTGTCTGTCCTCAAAAGCAAGAAGATTCATATCTTCAGTGAGGCCAGGTCACAGCAGCGTTTGTGTAAGAATGAGGGCCAGATGAGTTCAGGTCCAGCAAGAGGCTGAGTTCCACCTGTGGGTAGAAGTGACTCGTTGCACCTTGTGAGGTTGGGCAGTACCAAGTCATCATTCCAGAAAGTGAGTGAAACTCTTCTCCAGCTCATTGGAAGAGTTGGAAAGTTTACAGTAAGAGTTCATTGGTTCACATTTATCTTTTGGAACACCCAAAGCTGGTGTGAGAGCTTCTTGTATTGAAACAAGCTAAGTGGGAAATATTTATCTTCTCTTTATTTTCGGGGGGAGTGTGGGTGGAGAAGGGATAATCAATTTAAGGGCTTAAAAAAGCTAAAATACTAAAACCTAGAGAAACTCTCCAATTTAGACTTATCCCTGTGTATGGGTGAGTTGGTGGGGGGCAGGGGAAGAGCGTATGCTGGTCCTAGGTGCTGTCCCTGAGATTTTTTTGCTCAAGACTAGAACTATACTATTTAAGCCACAGCTCCACTTAGGCTTTTTTAGTACTTAATTGGAGATAAGAGTCTTATGGATTTTCTTACCAGGTTGGTTTCGAACCATGTTCCTTAAATCTTTGTGTCCTGAGTATATCCTTAGTTAGGTCTTAGCTTCCTGAGGTATACAGGTGTGAGCACTGACACCAGGCTTTGACTCATTTCTTAATTAGTTAATTTTTCTGACTGTGAAGCAACCTAGGGAGAGAATATTGAAATTGTTGCTGTGAATGCATGAGGCTTTGTGCGAGGCTAATCTATCAATATATCTATGTCTAGCTTAATAAACATAAAAAGACTGTAGCCAGTCTTCCTCTTATATTTAAACTGATTTGATTTGTCTAAAAAAATTCATGTGTTGGTATCTGTTTACCGATGTTATATACATTCACTGAGAGTAGTCTAGAAAGAGATTTTTTAAAATTTATTTTTATTTTATTTTTTTGGGTCCAGTCGTGGGGCCTGAACTCTGGGCTGGGCGCTGTCCCTCAGCTCTTCAGCTCAAGGCTAGCGCTCTACCACTTGAGCCACAGCGCCACTTCCGGCTTTTTTCTTTTTGCTTATGTGGTACTGAGGAATCGAACCCAGGGCCTCAGGCATGCAAGGCAAGCGCTCTACCACTGAGCCACCTTCCCAGCCCCTAGTAAGAGATTTTAGGAGCCCGTAGCCAGTTCTTGTTGCCTCTTATATAAATGGGGAAATGGAGGCTGAGAGGAATAAGATTACTTGTCAGGGTTACATAGAGGTCAATGAGGAGGTTGGGGCAGGAGCCAGGAATCTGCTACATCTCTGAAACTCGGCACTGCTTCTGTCTTCCTGGATGCCAGAGTTTGTTGGTGGAGGAGTTCTAGGTAGGAAAAGTTTTAATGCCTTGCCTCATTTCCAGGGCCCCTAATCCTGACAGACCAATGCATAGATTTAAAATAATTGCATCTATAGCAAGGGTATGTGCACACACACACAGGTAATACTGTGTGGATAGGTGGAATGAGATTACTTGATAACACCTTCCTTTCTTTCTTTCTTTTCTTTTCTGTTTTTGGTAGCTCTGGGGCTTGAACTTTAGGCCTTGTTCTCTTGTGGTATCCTACTGGCTTCTGGCTGGTGCTCTACCAGATGAGCACACATCGAGCTTGGCATTTTGCAGGTTAATTGGAGGTGGAGTCTCAAAGGCTTTCCTGCCCTGGTGGCTTTCAGACTTGGGTCCTCAGATCTCAGCCTTCTGAGTAGGATTATGAGTATCAGTCACCAGCTTAGTATTCTTTTTTTCTTTTTGGTTGGTCGTGGGGCTTGAACTCTGGGCTTGGGCGCTGTCCCTGCACTCTTCAGCTCAAGGTGAGCTCTCTAATGCTTGAGCTACAGTGCCAGTTTTGGTTTTCTAGTGGTTTATTGGAGATAAGACTCTCATGGACTTTCCTGCCTGGGCTGGCTTTGAATCTTGATCTTCAGATCTCAGCCTCCTGAGTAGCTAGGATTATAGGCGTGAGCCACCAGTGCCCAGCTTAGTATTCTTTAATATTATTTTTTACAGTAAATAATTTGAATGAGAGTATTTAGGGGATAGGATGTAATACATTTGGCTAATATGACTAATGTCTGGGATTTGATGCCCAACATTGGAAAAAGAAGGAAAACATTTCTTTTCCTACTTAGGAAAGTGATATATATTCATTATGAGAAATAGCAAGAAGCAGAAACAAATCTACAATCTACCTGTGATTACCCCATTCATATTTTGTTATATTTATTTTTTTGTCAGTTCATTTTAAAATTCATCCAAATTAACTGAGACCATAGTGTACATATAAATGTAAGGTTTAGCTTTCTTTTTTCAGTTCCTACTAGAACAGTTTATAGTATAAACTCTTGGTAAGATGTAATTTTTAATGGATGCATAATTTACTATTTGGAAGCTCCTTAATTTAAAATAACATTTTGCTATTAGTAGACGGTAAGTTTATTCTTGATTTCTCCCTGCCATGGCTGTGTGCAAGCAACTCTGTGTTTATGCTTCCCCCAGAAAAACAGAAACAAAACCAAAAACAAAACCTCATAAGTTTGTTGTTTTCATTTGCATTTTGGTTACCCAAATAACTCAACAACTTTCTATAGGATTGTTTCCTATTTGTATTTGTGTGTGTGTGTATGTGTGTGTGTGTGCACGCATGTGCGTGTCTGCATGTGTGTGTGAATGTGAATGAATTACCTATTTTTCTATTTGGGTGTGGTGGTTTAAAAAAATTCATTTGTAAGCTGGGCACCGGTGGCTCATGCCTGTAATCCTAGCTACTCAGGAGGCTGAGATCTGAGGATCATGGTTCAAAGCCAGCCCAGGCAGGAAAGTCCGTGAGACTCATATCTCCAATAAACCACTAGAAAAACAGAAGTGGTATTGTGGCTCAAGCGGTAGAGTGCTTGCCTTGAGCTGAAGAGCACAGGGACAGCACCCATACCCAGAGTTCAAGTCCCATGACCAACAACAAAAGAAAATCCATCTGTATATAGAAAGCCATGTTTCAAAAGAGAAAACCATATGCCTTTCATTTCACAGATATAACGGATGTAAGAAAT